CTGAAGGTCTACACTTCGATCACATCTTGATTGCTTTATTTCAAATACATTGTGGTGGTATATAAAGGCAAAATCACAAAAACTCTGTCATTGTCCAAATACTTCCGGACCTAACTGTGTGTGTAATGTAAACATGGAAGACATTCACATGCAAGAAAAAGTGTATATGTGCAATGTAAACATGGAGGACGTTCATGTGCAAAGATTTTCTCATTTGTAAATGTATGTGTTTGTAGGCAGGATGTGATAAAGCTTGGCACCTCTCAAGATCAGAGGGAAAATTGTGTCTGCAGTGTTGGGGGGAGGTGTTGGTGAGGATGCTCTCGATTGTACACCTGTAGAAGCTACTGAGGATTCTGCTTGGCATGCCGAATTTCCTTAGCCTTCTCAAGAAGTACAGATGCTGTTGAGATTTCTTCACCAGGTGTGTAGTGTTGTGAGACCAGGTTAGATCCTCAGGGATGTGAATATCAAGGAATTTGAAAGTGCTCACTCTCTCCACCTATGTCTCGCCAATGTGCAGTGCTGAGTGCTGCTCCATCCTCCTCCATGGATCAACAATCATCTCTTTTGTTGTATTAACATTTAGGAAAAAATTGTTGTCCAGACACCACTTCACTAGGTCAGCCACTTCCCTCCTGTATGCTGACTCACCACCCCAGTTATCATTCCAATGACTGGTGTATCATCAGCAAATTTGATGATGCTGGTACTGTTCTGGGAGGCCACACAGTCGTGGGTGAAGAGCATGTAGAGCATGGGGCTCAGCATGCAGCCCTGAGGAATTCCTGTGTTTATAGTTATTGTCCCTGATGTGTAGTTCCCTATTCTAACAGACTGGGGTTTGCCCGTTAGAAAGTACAGAATCCAGTTGCAGAGAGTGTGTGGCACACCAAGGGTGGAAAGCTTGTTGATGAGCTTAGATGGCATCACCGTTTTGAATGCTGAGCTATGCCAGAACATAGCTGCCCTTGTTCTCTAGGTTTGTGAGGGCAGTGTGTATTCTTGTACTGATGGCATCCTCTGTGGACCTGTTTGGTCTATGCATGAACTGGAGAAGGTCCAGAGTGTCCGGCGTGATGGTCTGGATATGACTCATGATGATTCTCTCGAAGCACTTCTTCACCATTGGAGTCAGTGCAACAGGCTGGTAGTTGTTGAGACGGGTTGCTTTTTTTTTTTTGGCAGTGGTACGATGGTGGTCCTCTTCAAGCAGGTGGGAATTGAGGCTTGTGCAAGGGACAAGTTGAATATATCTGCGAAGGCATCAGCTAGCATCGATGAGCAGGTTCTGAGTGCTCGTCCAGGGATGTTGTCTGGCCCAGCTGTTTTCCATGGGTTTATTTTCCCAAAAGTCTTTGCCAGATCTGCAGATGAGATTGTGAATGGTGGTTTGCTCACACTAACCAGCTTACTCCCCAGTGGCTCGGTGTTGAGGGCCTCAAAGCAAGCATAGAATTCATT